AGCTTTGACTTTGTTGTCTTCTTCTGGTTGTATGTTTTGATCTTCTTTGTCACCAAGGTAAGATTCTACAATCTGACTTTTTTTTTTGCACTGTTTGCTCATGTTCCCAGCCAATTATATGATTTTTAAACTCTTTGTTAAGGTAGGGTTCTGCTTCCAGTGTGGAGAATGTACTGTCCCAAGCTTTGGGGGTTTTGTGCAGCTGTTTTCAGAGATATCTCTAGGGACCTGTAAGTTTTCCATTTTTCCAAGGTGGTGTGATCAAAGGCAAGAAGTTTTCTTCTTTCCTGGCCTGTCTGTGCTCTGGTCTATGAGTGACCACAATCACTCTTTTCTGTCTTGGAACTGTGAGGAGGATTCCCTATCCATGACCATCACAAACTCCATCACACCAATGCTTCTACTCACCCTAGGATCACCACCCAGAACTGCAACCCAGATCCAAGCACAGGCAAAGCAAGAGAATCCATCCTCAGTGCCAGCAAAGAGATCCCTGCAATCTCCCTCTGATCAGCTACTTGATCCCCGCTCAGTCTATGGGCCAAGAGCTCAGGAAGCAGCCACCACCTCAGGGCTGCACCAGGACTGGGGTTGGACCAAGCTCCTCTTTCACCACAGTCACAGACCTTTCCTATCGACCTTCTAAACTGTCTTTGGCATTTATGGGTTGAGAAGTCTGGAAATAGCCACAGCTTCCCATGATTCAGACCCCTGAGGCCTGCTCCGGATTTGCTGGGCCCCTGTCTTTGCTGGCATGGTCCACACTGAACTTCCCTCCTCTCCCAGCCCATAGCAACAGACCTTTCCTGCTGACCTTCCAGGTTGTCTTGGGCTGGAAATTTGTTTCACTCTGTCTTTTTGTAGGTTTTGCTGCTCTAGAATTTGTTTAGAGCCATTTTTTACAGGTATTTGGAGGGATTTGGGGGACAGCTCAAGCAAGTCCCTGCTTTTACTCTGCCATCTTGGATCCATCTACCTCCACAAACCCTCTTTCATCTACTGGATTTGGAATTAACATGCAGTGGTTCTCAAGACCATTTTATACTCTTTAACTCTCATTTTTTTTTAATATTTTGAGTTACAAACTCTAACTCCCCATTACAAATAATGCTTACTGATGGTTTTAGATAGGTCCTATTTATAATTTTAAGGAAAACTCCATTTATTCCTGTGCTTTTTAGTGTTTTTAATAGGAATGAGTGTTGAATCTTGTCATTCTGCATCTATTGAGATAATCATATGATTTTGTCATTTTTCCTATTGAAATGGTCAATTATACTGATAGTTGTCCTAATATTGAACCAACCTTTTATGATCTTTGTGATATATTGCCGTTATTTCCTTGCTAATATTTTCTTTACAATTTTTGCATCAATATTCATTGGAGAAATTACTCTTTGATTTCTTTCTCTGTTTTTGTTCTTCCTGGTTTAGATATTAATACCTTATTTGTGTTATAAAATGAGTTTGGTAGGACTCCTTCTTTGCCATTTTTCCAAATAGTTTACATAGTATGGGAATTGATTATTCTTTAAAAGTTTGGTAGCATTCACTTGTGAATCTGCCTGGTCATGGGGATTTTTTCTTAGAGAACTTATTGATGACTTCAATTTCTTTTTCTAAGATAGAGTTGTATAAGTATTCTATTTTCTCTTCTGTTATTCTAGACAATTAATATTTTTGTAAATATTTGTCCATTGCTCTTAGATTGTCAGATTTATTTGCATATAATTGGGCAAAATAGATCCTAATCAGTTTCATTTCATCTTCTTTGGTCATGAATTCACCCTTTTCACTTTTTGATACTAGAAATTTGGTTTTCTTCTTTTTGTTAATCAAATTAACCAATGGTTTATCTGTTTTATTGGTTTTTTTTTAAAATAAAACCAACTCTTAGCTTTATTTATTATTTTAATGAGGTTTTAACTTTCAATTTTATTAATCTCTCCTTTGATTTTCAGGATTTCCATTTTGATGTTTAGTTGAGGATTTTAATCTTTTTTCTAGTTTTTTTTTCATTGTATGCCCAATTCATTGATTTACTCTTTCTTTATTACTGTGTTTAAAGATATAAAATTTCCCCTAAATATTGCTTTGACTGCATGTTGTTTAATTGTTGTCGTGCTATTTAAAGAAAGTATTACTTCCATGATTTGTTCTTTGACCCATTCCCCTCTAGAATTAGATTAATATGTTTCTAATTAAATTTTAATTTATATTTCCATGTCCATTTTTTTAGTCAAATTTTTATTGCATTATGGTCTGAGAAAGATATATTTAATATTTCTGCTTTTCTGTATTTGTTTTTGAGGCTTTGATCCCCTAATGATGGTCAGGGTTGGTTTTTTTTACCTGTGTACAGGCCATGTACAGCTGAGAAAATTTTATATTCCTTTCTATTCCCATTCAATTTGCTCCAGAAAGATCCCTTTACACTCTTAAAAATTATTGAAGACTCCCCATGAACTTTTGTTTTGTGGATTATATCTATTGATGTTTACCATAATAAAAATTAAAACTGATAAAATTTTAAAATATTTTTTATTTATTTTTAAATAATAAGCACATTAAATGTTAACATAAATAGCATTTTATTAAAAAAAAATTTCCCAAAAAATAGTGAGAAGGGTGGCACTGTATAACGTGCTTTTGTAAATCTTTTTAATGTCAGTCAGTCAATAAACATTTATTAAGTGCCTATTATGTGCCAAGAACTGTGCTAAATGCTGGGGATACAAAAAAGAGGCAAAAGATAATCTTTACCCTCAAGGGGCTCACAACCTAATGGAAGAGAGAGCAAGCAAACGAATAGATATAAACAAGATATACACAGAATAAATAGTAAACAATTAAGAGAGAGAAAGTACTAGAATTAAGAGAGGTTGGGAAAAGCTTCCAATAGAAGATGGGCTTTTAGGTGAGGCTTGAGGGAAACCAGGAAAGCCAGGAAAGTAGGCAGAGATAAGGAGGAAGAGCATTCCTGGCATGGGAGACAGCCAAATAGGTAGAGCCAAGATATAGAGTGTTTTGCTTGTGGAACAGCAGGCAAGACAGTGTCAATGGATGGAAGAGTACATGGTAGGGAGTAAGGTGTAAGAAGACCAGAAGGATAAGAAGGGACTAGATAATGAAGGGCTTTGAATGCCAAACACAGGATGTCTATTTAACATCTGGCTTAATAGAAGATAACTGGGTTCTCCTATCTGCTTCTACTTTCAACTGGCTGCAATCTTGTTTTGGTTGAAGTATGTGAAAAAACAAAATCCAGCCTCACACAGATGTGTGGTTAGAAAAGGGAGGAGTATATTAATGGACAAATATTATCTTAGTGTTATTAAGAAGACAGTTTCGACTTTGAGGATTCCCAGAGGTCAGTGGACCAAACTTTGAGGACCACTTGTGTAAAGGACAGAGCACTGGACAGTCAGAAAGACCCAGGTTTGAACCCTACTTAAGACATTTTAATAAGTGTATAATAATATTTCAGACACTTTAATGAGCCATATGATCCTGCGCAAATCATTTAACTTCTCTGGGTCTCAGTTTTCTGGTCTATAAAATGAGGGAGTTGTACTAGATGATCATTAAGGTCCTTTTCAACTTGAAATCTTTGATATTGTAATTAATAGAAGCAAAAGTGCCCCTGAGTCTGTTTATCCTTTATTTGTGTATTTGTAAAGGACCATAGCTCTCCTTTACTACTGAGTATGATGCAATATGAAGTAGTGGATAGAAAGAGTTGGACTCAGACTCAGGCAAGTCCTGCCTCTGACACAGGTGTTATCCTGAGCAAGCCATTTAACCTCTCTCTTAGTGCTCCAGACTATACTGCATGGTGCTACCCACATTGATAGACAGGTTCTTTATCCAGGAGTTCTCTTCAACAATGAAATTACAGGTCTTATCCCCATGCAGTAATATAAGCCCCAATGATCCAGAGCCACTCAGGTCAATCTGCAGTCCTGGAAAAGCGAGTAACATCAAAGGTACTCTGCCATGACCTGAATCAAAATGAAAAGCCCCCAGTGGAAATGTCACAGACATGTGTCCTCACTGTCCTTTATTTTAACAAAATTAAATTATAACTTGTTAAGAAATGGGACATTACATCCAATTTTTCCAACATGAATGTTTCACTTTCATTCAGACTCTTCCCAGTAGCATTCTTTTCCTATGATCTTGGCTCCTGAGAGTTATATTTAATATGTTAATTTGGTTTTGGATTTTTTGTGACAAGAATCATCAAACCTCAGAGCTAGAAGGGACCAAAGGACATCTAACCATCCAAAGAATGATTGCTTTCTACAACATCCCTCAAAAGTGGTTATCCAATTTTTGCTTGAAAACATATTGAGTGAGGACATAAACTTTCTAATCTATAATTTGGAAACCAGATCACCTGACTGCTTCCCTCCTTCACAGATGGTTATGATGATTAATAACTAAAGATGGTTATAAAGATTAATAGCTTTTAAAAAATCAAAGCATGATGGTGCACACCTGTCATCCTGCTGCTAGGGGATTCTGAAGCTGTTGAATAGATTGAGTTTAGGAGTTCTGAGTTGCAGTATGACTAAAGCTAATCAAATGTCATCAGTAAATCCAGCACCAATATGGTAGGCCCATAAAAGCAAGGTTCAAACTATCTAAGGAGGGGTGAGCTAACTCAGGTCAGAATCCCAGTAGGTTGAAGTTTCTATGAAGATCAGAGGTGGATTTGAGGGGAGGGAGGAGGAAAATGAGGAAGAAGAAGTGAAGGAAGAGGAGGAAAGAGAGAAGAAGGAGGAGGAAGAGGAGGACTGAAAAGGAAAGAGGAAGCCTGAAGGAGGAGGAGAAGGATGAAGAGGAGGAAGAAATATTAATAGCAACAGCTCACATCTATATAGTGTTTCCAGGTTTATTCCACTTTCCCCACAACTCTGTGAAAGTGCTAACCCAATTGTTATTATTCCGATTTTGAAGATGAGAAAACTGGGGTTTGGAGAGGTGAAGTGACTTACCCAGCATCACAAAATGTAGTGAATATCAGAGTTGGGAGTATCAAGCAGGTCTTTTTGCCTCTAAGTTCAGTGGTCTTGACATGAAACAAATGCCTAAAATGAAATAACATGAGAAATTGATGTGGAGAAGTAGGATGACATAGTGGATAGAGAGATGACCTCAAAGTCAGCAACATCTGAATTTGAGTCCTGCTTCCAGCACACACTGTCTGTGACCCTGTGACCACTTATGCTTTCGATGCCTGTAGGCATCTCTTTAAGGTATAGATAGGTTCAACCATTTGGAAGAGCATTCTGAAATTATGCCCAAAGACTTATTAAAGTGCCTATGCCCTTTGACTCAGCAATACCACTACTAGGTCTATTTCCAAAGATGATTAGGGAAAAAGGAAAAGAATATATATTCTAAAATGTTTATAGCAGCTCTCTTTGTGGTGGAAAAGAACTAGAAATTGCAGGGATGCTCATCAATTGGGGAATGGTTGAATAAGTTGTGGCATAGGATTGTGATGGAATAGTACTACTGTGCTATAAGAAATCATAAGTTCAACGATCTTAGAAAAACATGGAAAGACAAGAAATAATGAAAAGCAAATTGAGCAGAACCAAGAGAACATTGTATACAGTAACAGCAATACTGTTTTAAGAGTGACTTTGAGCAAGTAAGTCATTTTGACTATTATAAATACCCAAATTAACTATAAAGAACACATGAAAGGGGCAGCTAGGTGGTGCAGTGGATAGAGCACTGGCACTAAAGTCAGGAGGACCTGAGTTCAAATCCGGCCTCAGACTAAACACTTGACACTTATTAGCTGTGTGACCCTGGGCAAGTCACTTAACCCGAATTGCTTAAAAAAGCAAAAAAAAAAAAAAAGAACACATGAAGAAAGATGCTACCTGTATCTAGAGAAAAGAGCTGATAAATAGAAGTTATGTATAGAATGATCTTACATATGCATACTATTTGTGTCTAGTGGTAGCCATCTTGGGGGGGAGGGGGAAAGGGAGGGAATTTACATGATAGCTTTATTACATATTTAAAAGGAATGGCAAGTTCTACATAATAGATTTGTAGCTTCATGTGCAATTTTCATTATGCCATGTTACGGAAATGCTTGTTTTACTCCATAAATTAAATAATTAATTAGATGTATATATACACATACATATGTATATGAACATATATACATATTTAACATGAAAGAAGCTCAGTGAATACATGGAGAAGGAAATGGCAAACCACTCCAGTACTGCTGCCAAGAAAACCCCAAAATGGGGTCACAAAGAGTCAGACACGACTGAAACAACTGAACAACAGCAACAACGACAAAGAATACAAGGCTTTGTGCTCATCCATTCTTTGTCATTCTCTTCACTCATCCAAGCTGAGCACAAAAGAAACACAACTACAGAAGAATCTAAGACTCAGGACATGGAATCTAATATGCTAAGAAAAATCATTCAACTCTTGGTCCCTTGGTATTCCCCGCATCACCATCCTCCAAGGACGCAGGCACAGTATATACAAAGCTGGGACTTAGAGCCCACAAAACCTTTCACCTCAATTCAGAGTGTTTCAGGAGAGGATGGTAGAAATGAAAGTCTCACATCTGTGCACAAGTTGTAATTCTTAAGGTGGTAAGACAAAATCCTACATGCACAAATCCCCAATTTCTCACACAAGATTGCTTCTTACTAAAATCCTTCCCACCCCCAACCCCCAAGGAATCTTTCTCTTGCCCCAGAACAGTCTTTGCCTCTGCTCCCATGGAGTACTCTGTGCACATATTGTCTTCCCCAGTAAAGTCATCAAGAGCACAGCCTATTTCATTCTCGTCTTTGTATATCTATTACCCAGTCTGTTAGTCAGTCAACAATCATTTATTAATGTTTACTATATGCTAGGCACTGCGCTAAGTTCCAAGGATACAAATTCAAACAAGAAAACAGTCCCTGCACTCGAGGAACTTACATTCTAAAAGGGGAACACAACGCATAGACGTCTGGGGAGTCAAAATCAGATCCAGAAAAGGAAACGAAGACTGCCCTGGCTTGGGACCTTCCACAAATTGAAGGTTCAGGGAAGAACTCACCAATAGGAAAAGGGGGCCAAAGTGTGAGGAAGCAAATGAGGCATGGTCATAAGAGTAGGCAGCGTAGTGGAGAGAAGACAACTTATAAAAGCTCCTAGCTGTTGGATGCAGCTCTTAAATGTTCTGGCACATTTTAGGTGCTTAATTAATGTTTATTGACTGATAGATTCAATTACTATACATAAAGTAGCATTTCTCTACATCTGGACCTGGGATGGTCTACCATGGGGGGTGTTCTGCCAACAAAAATGACATATTGGACGACAATGGGACATCTATCTATATGGTGACCCAGGTTTATCATGGGAAGAGGACCAGTGACTCATAGTACCCTAACCCTTTGTCTTACAGGCAGTGTTCACTTATGCTATATTCAATGTTTCCATTTCATGTTTCCAAGATTGTAAGACCTCAGAGCAGATGCAATAAAGTACCATGAAGAAAGACACAGATGGGTTTAGCTACCTCTTTGTTTCAAAAGTAAACCCTGCTTCTTGCCAGAGAGTTCTAATCAGAAAGTCAAATTTGCTTGGAAGCTCCCCCAGGATTGGATCCCATCTGTACTAAGGTCCCCAGGAATCTGCCTATTTGAATTCTGACTCCTCTGGGCTTCCAGCAAGTTTCAGAAGGACCCAGGAGACAAGGTTAAGACAAGATGACTCCATCTCACAGAACTCTTAGCCCCACTTCCAGCTTTCAGAGGGTAAAAGGTAGATCTCTTTTTAATGGGCAGATCTGCTGGAAGGCTTCTATTTAGAAGCCTAAAGTAACTCTGACACCGTGTTTGAGCCAGTGCTACCCAGTAATACGTAAGTGAACCTCAAAAATAGTAATATTAATAATTAATACCAAGATATGAAAGGCATAAGACTTGTTATTTTATAGCTAAAGGTCTCTTATAGCTATATAGTTCTCTCAACTGACAGGATTCCATAGAAAAGCCACAAACACCCTTGTACCCAGGTTACATTTAGGGGGGGGGGCATCACTGCTGACTTCCATTCCTACTGGCTGCTGATTCAGCCTTTGTTGGAGGTGGGGGTAGACCTGGGGCATGAAAGCAACACAAATACCTATGGTACTTTCAAAACTTTCAAAACCTACAGTTTTTATAGATTTTTTTTCACTAACCAGGGTTATGACTTTTCTCTAACCAACCCTTTTTTTCTCTTTCCTTGTCCTCCCAAATATTTCAGCAAATCATACATTCCTCATGAGGTCATCCTATTCATCTTGATCATGAGAAATGGTTTTGTTTTTTAAAAGTACCCAAGAGTATACCTCAGGTTAAGCATTTTACATGTGCATATAACTGAAGCATCTATTTATTTAATCAGTGTGATGAAGGAACAACAGTTTGAAACCCCTTCGGGTTTCCTGAGGCAGGTAGAGGTTAAATGACTTGCCCAGAGTCACACAGCTAATATACATCATAGGCAAGATTTTAACTGAGTTCTTCTCAGCTAGGTGGCACAGTGGAAAGAGCGGCAGGCCTGATGTTCAAATCCAGCCTCAGACACTTACTAGCCGTGTGACCCTGGGAAAGTCACTTAATCTTGTTTGCCTCAGTTTCCTCATCTGCAAAATGAGCTGGAGAAGGAAATGGCAAGCCACTCCATTGTCTTTGCCAAGAAAACCCCAAAATAGGGTCAAGAAGACTCAGACATGACTAAAACAACTCAATAACAATCGGATAATCATTTGAATAATTGAATTAAATAATCCTCTTGAATAATCAATAATAATAAATGCCTCTACCTTATTTATATATAAACCACTTATGGAAGAGGAATGATTCTTATATCCAAAAAGAGGGGGTGGGGTCATTTCCTGCTTGGGACAGCTAGGTGGCAACATAGTGCACAGAGCCTCAGGTCAGGAAAACCTAAGTTCAAATCTGGCCTCAGATACTTACTGGCTGTGTGATCTGGGCCATATAACTTAACCTCTGTCTTCCCCTGTTTCCTAGACTGGGTTGGGGATGATGATAGCATCTATCTCCCAGAGTTGTGTGAGGATCCAATGAGCTATGTAAAGCATTTAGCACAGTGCCTGGCATGTAATAGATACTAAATGATGCTTATTCCCTTTTCCTTTCCCCTAACTCAGATATTAGTCAAATGCCAGAAATCTTTATAAATATGAAGCAAATAGTTAAGCCTTAAAAGGTGCTCAGCATTGTGAAGCTTTCATACTCTGGCAATGTTTCTTACCTGGCAATGTTTACATATTTCCATTCTTTCTTACCTCTTTCACTATCCATTGATCTCATTGTTAAGTCATTCCCTGAATAGGTTCTTTCATGCTTTAACATATATTTTCCTGTCCCATTCCATAAGATATTTATGACCTTTATCACTTTTCTCCACTGTGCACATTTTAGAGACTATGTAAAAAAAATAAAAATGATAATAGCTAACATTTATATCACACTATATGTCATTCTATAAGGGCAGAAAAATGTGTAGATGTATAAATATATTAGAACAATAAAAAAAGAAGCATTTATATAACTCTGAGGTTTGCAAACATTTTTACTAAAATAGCTAGCATTTATATAATACTTCAAAGTTTACAAAGTATTTTATGTGAGCGAGCTCAATTGATCCTCACAACTCTGAGAGGTAGGCACTATTATTATAGCCATTTTACAGATAAGGAAACTGAGACTATGAAAGGTTAAATGATCTAACTGGGATCATACAGCTAGTAGTAAGTGGTAGAACCCAAACTCAGCTCTTCCAGGCTCCAAGTCCAGCACTCTATCCACTGTACCATCGAGCTAAAATAAATAAATAAGAAGAAGGCAATTGGATGTAAAGGAGGCATCATCAGCTAGGGAAGCAGAAAATGCTTTGGGTAGGAGATGGCATTTCAGCTGAGCTTATAGAGAAACTGTGGCTTGGAAGAGGCAGAGGGGAGGAGAACCCGCATTCCATGGATGGGGACAGGCTTTGCAAACAGAAATGACAAATGGAATGTCCTGTGCTAGGAACT